GGCAGCATCTGCGGGGGCACACAGCATCAGCACTGCCGCCCGCGATGGGCCGGGCTTTAAATAATAAATTCAAATAAATAAGAAAGCAGTGCGCAAAGATAAAAACAAGGCTTGCGAGTATGCAGTAGCATGCAGCAGGAACCAGGGCCTGTGGGACAGGACCTTCTGATTGCGGTAGAAGGAGCTGAATTGACTGACAAGCTGGTACACGCCTGAAATTTTTGCAATTGTGTAACACTAAACAAATACAGACTTCCCTTTATTTTGCAGGCCCGGAGTGTGTTGGAAGAAAGGCCCTCGGTTGTCTTTGCAGTTGTTTGCTCTGCGTAATGGAAAAGGAGTCAATGGGCAGAGGTGCTGTTCGACCTGACTGCAGCTCCTGAATGGGAGCCAGTCGACCCTGAACACGCTGCCGAGGTGCGTTAAAGGGGCAGCGTGAGGAGGAGCCAGTGGCCATCGCTGCATCCCTGCCTGAAAAGCTGAACCTGCTGCCGAAAAGTCGGAAATGGAACACTAAAGGAACAGGGCAGTGTTTTTTAAAGCAGCAAAGTTCCTTAAGCACAACAACATTAAGCGTTTCAGAGCTAGGAAGAATGAATTAGGCTACGAAGGTGGCTATTTTTGTTTAAAAAGTAGGTGGTAGTGCAAAGCTCATTAGCAGTAGAGCCATGCCTGCTGCAGGCAGCTGTGCACCAGCATGGCGGTGCAAGGCTGGCCCCAAGCACACAGGCACTGAGGCTGGCTGTTTGGGCCAGCAGGTCCAGGGTGACAGGCTGGTCTGGCCACTGGGGGCTCTCACCTTTCTCTGTCCCATTCTGGTGGGCCGGGGAAGACACTGGATTCCGGGATCTGGCAAAAGCACTCATGAGAGGAAGGGCCCCTGGCCTGTGATTCCTGGGCCTGGAAGAAGAAGGGGAGAAATGACAACAGAATGAGCACTTGGAGCATTACTGCTGTGAGCTGCAGCTGGCAAACGGGGCCCAACCCAGCATACCTCAAACTCCATGCAAGCCTTATGCAAAAGTAAGCTGGGCAGGTGAGCATGGGGTGTAGTCATGGTCAATAAAGACAAAGCCTTACCAGTCCTCAGGGTCGCAGTCTCTGAATCCCTTGGCAAAAGGGTTGCTGGCGATCTTTAGCTGCGTGATCTGTAAGGAGAAGCAGGGAAATGTCTCAAAGTGGCATTCATGGGGCTCCCTGGTCAGACAGTGAGGATGTCCCTGAGTGGGCTTTGGGACTCAGTGGTGCCTGGTGTAACAGAGAGGGCCCAGGTGGCCCATCGAGCTGGGACGCGCTCTGCTGCAGAGCAGAAACACGTGCTTTCCCTCTGTTAGAAAATGTGGGCTTGTATGCTATCTAATATGTGTTCAAGGCAAAGGGAGAGGCAGTCCGAGTCGGGTGCAAAAGCTGTGTAAATGCACTTGTAAGAAAATGCCACATTATATGGGTCACCACCAGAGCAGCTAAGACAAATCACTGGATAAATCATACTTATGTATTTATTTAATTCACCGGGGAGAAGGCAGGACATTTTCTATATTTAAGCAAATCCACGGATAAAGTATGTGATTGTGAGTTTCCGGAATGGGTTGAAAAACAAACTTTAAGCCCCCCAGTGACAGTTCCAGCCTTAGAGGTCAAACTGATAGAAAGCAGGAGAAAAAGAGCAGCTGTCCAGAGCCATCAGGCGAATGCCAGCCGGGGAGGGACTCCGCAGCCCCTTAAAGGCACAGCCTTGCTCTCGTCCGACCGCAGCACCCTGGGGAGCCCCGGGTGGGTGTACTCGGAGCTGCTGCAGAGGCCGGCACTGCCAGCTGGGGGGCACAGCCCCTCCAGCCAGCCCTGGCTGGGGCTGCGGCATCAGTGCAGAGCGAGGCAGTTTGGAGCAGCGCTGAGAAGCCCCCTCTATGAAATCGTATTTGCACTCGCGGCTGGGATTCCTGCTCTTTACATTGCACTGATGCAATTTAAAGAAGCAATTGGATTAACTGCTGCCCAGAAATCCGCATCAGATTAGGGGGGGTGGGTTGTTTTGTTTCGTTTTCTTTCGGTTTTTAACCTATAATTGTACTCCGGGAAGGACTAGACCGCCGCGAGCTTAGAGAAGTAAAATCGCAAATTTATCCAAACAAATTGGGAGTGACATTTGGCAGCGGGAAGCCGGTTGTTTTCCTGCTAGCCCTGGTCTGGGGTTCACATAGGTAACAAGGGCCCTCCGGGCGGTGGGGAGCGGGTGATGGGGCTGCAGCTCACGTCGCTTCCCCGGCGTGCAGCAGTGCAGCTCTGCGCAGCCCCCGGCTATCGGGTTCCTTCCGCTGCCCCGGAATGGGTTTAGCAGATGGGGAGGAGGCAGCGGGGATGCCCCCAGACACCCCCCCCCGAGCCAGCGCCCTGGCACCTCCGGGGTGACCCCAAGCCCCCTCTTTCGTTGCCCCGGGCCCCACTGCCGCCTCACCCGGTGGTTCTGGTAGGCAGTTACAGCCGTGAAGCGCGTCTCCTCGAAGACGAAGGTTTTGAAGTTCTCCTCCGCATATTTCTCGCTATCTTTCCGGGGGTCCACGTAGACCACGTGAAAACGCGGCTGGTATCTGTGCATGGAGTTCAAAATGATCTGAATGATAAAATGAGCAAGGAGACAATAACTGATCCAGGCGGAGCATCGAGAGAGGAGAGCGGGCAGGGGAGGGGTGCGGGCAGGGGCACCCCATGGGAATCCCGGCGCGGGGAGCTCCCCCCTGGTGCAGCCCCGTGTTTGACACCTTTCCTCGGGAACACTTACATGCCCGTTGTCATCCAGCAAGTTGTTGGTCAGTTTGAGTTTATCGAAGGAAACAATCTGCTTCATCCACTGCGCCCCTTTCGCCGGGGAGTCCGGGTGGTAATGCACCCTCCCGGGGGTGGCAGGGTCGGCTTTGCCGGCCACCAGCCAGGAGGAGCTGTGGAAGGCATACCTGCCGGGAGGGGAGGGCCCGCAGCAGGGACCGGCTTGGGAGGGTCCCCGGCCCGGGAAGGGGAAGGACCACCTCCCCCCTCACTCCCGCTTCCTACGGCAACAAGAGGAACAAGCTCTTCCCCACTCAGTCAGACTCACGGCGGGGCGGCGGGAATGGGGATAATACTTTAACAGGTCGCCAGTGGAACTGGCAGGAGAGAAATCTGCAGGACGGAGGAAATTTGTAGCTACCTGCGCAGATTTGTGAGAGAAGCCGCAAAAGCTCCCCCTTTCTCCAAAAAGAGAGGGTGAAAGGGAGCCCACTATACAGTAACATTCTGGCCTTAAGCAAAGAGTGGAAATTTATGTGTAGATTAATAGCAGGTCCGGAGTTTAGCAGCCTTGTTTCATTCTTTCAAAGTACATAGTCAACAGTAACATTTAAAACAGAGAAACCAATCTTCTATACACGTGTTTACTTTAAAAGCCAGTGTTTGCACAGGCGGAATTAGACACCATTGGACTCGAGCAGAAACATTACTTTTTAAAGATATACTCAATTGGATGTTATATATCCCACTTCCCTTGACAAGCAAACATTTCTAGGACGCCCTGAGAATTTGGATATCTGTCTAAATATTTATATATCGGACCCTGCGATTCCTACGCGGGCTGCCTGCTCAGCATCCTGATCTGAAGCTAAATACATAATGCGCCTTTCACTGTCTTTAAATTAAAGGGGTTGCGAACCAGACCGCA